CTTTTTTATGGAAGCAGATGTGCACGTGGACTGAACCCTCAGCAGCTGCAGTCTTCATACCTGGACACACGGAGCAGCTGACTCTTTCCTTTTATAGACTCAGACCTTCTTTTCTCGTGCTAAAGTGTTCTTGCCAAACACGACACCGGGCCTGCTCACAGTGATTCTGTTTGGTTTTGTGCTCAGTCCTTAACTTTTCCTCTAGTTTAAAGGATTTATTTCAACCTGCATGTTTACCTGCAGCTCCTCTATCTTTTAGCCAGGTCTCAACACAAATTTAAATGTTAAGCCTTGCCTCAGCTGCTCTGTCTTATCGTAACATGTGGCCATAATCCAAGCTGAACCATGAACCTTGCCTCGGTGTATCAGCTCTAGTGAATCGTGCGTCTCTAGTAGAATAGGTCTGAAATCCAGCATGAGCTGGTCTGCCTCCGGTTGGTAAAGCTTTCACGTGGGAATGAAAGAAAGCGAAGCCATAACTCTTTCTCCAAGCAACGACAAATCCTTCATTTGTAATTCAGGCATCATGTTAACGGCTCTTACCATAAGTGTCTCAAACCAACCATGTAAGAGAAAAGCCGAGAGAAAATAGCATAGCAGCCACTCTACTGCCGCTCCAGCAGAAGCCGCTAAAGCTCAGTGATTAATATGCATAACATTAGTTCAGTATGGATGAAAGCTCACCTGTGCCAACACCAGTTTATCATTATCTGATGTAGTTATGCAAAAGACAGGTGATGTGGAGAAGTCTCCAGTACAGCATTAAAATGTATGTTTACAGCCTCTTGTTTCCTAACACTGAGGCTTCAAAATGTTTAAGCCAAAACCAATTGGCAATGTCGTGGAGACTGTGTCCATCTTCTCTGTACAATTTGTTTAACATGCAGTAAAAATGGCAGACATCATATATACTGGGTTATTCTGTCAGCTGAGCTGGTGTTTTTAAAGACGTAATATCTTTGAGCTGATGTATTAGTTGATCTTTGGTGGGAGCTGAAACCAGAAGGATTCTTCTCCCAGGAAACATTCCCAGCATCTTTTGCAGCCTCACTGATATCTGACGTGTTGCTTGGCGTGTCAGTGCTGTTGTTGGTTCCCAGCACTGTCTGTTAGCCATCTGAACATGCAGTGACGAGCCAAAGCATTTATGGTCACCCCTCATCATATGCTAATGGACCTTCATGTGCCACAGTGCACACCTGCTGTGTTGGGGATTATATCAGACAGTTGAAGGTGGTTTGTTGGTTACTACCCCACACGCCAGCCTTGGTGTTCCATATGTGTTGTCGCTGGCCATTGTAAGAGCTATCTGCTTGTTTCTCCGAGATTTACTAGTTCGCAGTTCGCTCACAGTACCTTTAAACACACCCCAGATTATTCTCTCTTCATGAGAGCAGCCATCATGTTGTGGCTCATCTGCAGAAAAGCTCCTTCCCCCTTAGGACCCTCTATTCGCTGATCAGCCATGAGAGGTTTGCACCTTCTTTGCCACTGATTTTAAAGCCATACGTCTGAGTGACAGACTGAAATCCCAAAGGTGGTAAATCCCACCTTTCTATGCTAAACATGCAAATTGTACATGACATGTTTACACAATACTTGGATAAAACACACTGAATTTTGTGTGTTTACCAGACTTTGCACCCCAGGGATGGATGTTGGGGAGTGGGGGAACTTACTGCTCATTTCTGCTCAACTAACTGACCCCACTGTCCATCAGAGTGATATATGGTGCCTTACCACAGCCGCGCCCACGTTTCTCCCGATACTGGATGGAGGTAAAGCGATGGAACAGTATACCACAGCTCTCCTCTTCGCTTTTATGCCATATCTTAGACCAAACCCCGGAAGTTTGGAGTAAAACTTCACCAGGGATGTTTTGTGCACAAGCACACTGCAGCTCAAATGTGCCGCAGTGACCTTCTGGATGCTTTACTGTACATACGGACAGCAACATGCACAGCATGTAAAATGTAATCAGGCCGTGTATTAAAGTTGGCAGCCATGTCTGTTTCCAGCCTGCTTCTCAATGTTCTACTCAGAAAGTATATGAATATATATAGAAGACCTGTTTAAGCTTTTGTTTGTGTGTAATCTTCTTTATTTTCCTGTAACACAAATAGAATTTTAAGATTAATTTCTATTTTTGTAATGGCCAAGTAGTTAGATGTCTCCTATGTTGGGTTTTCTGATTTAATGTTCTCTCTGTGCATGTGTTTCCTCTTGTGGATTTAGGAGGAGGTGGCAACGACGGCCCCGTGGCGATGTTGGCCATTTTTGTTTTGTTTTGTAGGGAATCAAAGCCTTATGGGATAAATCTAAATCTGCATTTTCTATGTTATGTGTTTTGATAATAGTGCTGATATTGTAAATGCAGATGTTGTGATGAAACGTTTGCACTTAAATCTTCGGGGTTCCTGTAGTATTGGATTCTGTCACTTTTCTATGCCTCAGAGTTGCTCTTTGAAATGTTGTTTGCTTACTGAGAAATGTCTATTTTCCCAAAGGGAGGAAACAATTATGCACTTGGTATTTTATATGGCAAACAAGAGTTTAATCTTTTACCGTGTATCAAATAAATTTACAATAATTTGTAATCAGGCACTGCCACTTAATATTTATTTGTATGACTTTATACCCAATAGAATTGGTAAGCTATATTGCATATTTTTGCAGTAACTTTAATGAAAAAAAACTATGAAATAGCTGGAATGTGACCTCAACCTCAACTCCATTTAAAATTTCCTCTTGGCCTTTTATTCATCGACATATTTGTTTTTGTATTCTGAATTTATTTTATTTTTTCCCCCCTTGACTTTTCCTTCAAATGTAAAATCTTGTTTTGGACAAATTGAGCCCCTTCTTGCTTTGTATTGTCCAGTTCTCCAACTGTTTGATGCTTTTTTCAAATGTTTACAAGCTGCTTGTCTTAAGTGGCGTATTGATGTGCGAGGAAGTGTTTATATCAAAAGAGTTAGGTGAGACCAATAATAAAAGATCTCTAACTGACTGCGTCTTTAATGTCCGCCAGGAAACAAACACGCGCATACACTCACACAAATCAGTTTCACTTTTAAATGAATTTCAGTTTCTAAAGTTATGAATTTAATTTTATTGACTGAAAATGATCAAGAATAGCCTCTAAATACATTGATTCTCTGTTGTAATTCCAGTAGTGCTGTAGTCCAGCAGCATCAAGCTTGAAAACATTGCTACATTGTCTACATCACCACTTTGAATACAAGTTGTTCCAGACTAGGTTATGTGCTTAAGTTACCACATTGATCTGTCCAGTTCAAACAGTGAAAGCGTCTTGACTGAAAACTCTTGAAAGACTTTAAGAATGAACCTTAATAAACTCTCAAATATTAAGAATTTAATGTCCTGCCCAAAGGTGTTTTGGCATGCAGACTGAAACAGCCAGGGATCAAACCACCAACCTTCTAATTAACAGATGACCTGCGCTGTCTCCTGAGCTACAGCCACCTCAGGTCGCTCCTGAATGAAGTGTGAGAAGCTTCTGAGCTGTGCTAAGGACACAACAAACTGGACTTTTGTTCTGTGATCCGGTCCTCTTTTCAGATTAAAGCAAATTTTGTACTTCATTTGAAAATCCTGGAGGAAGAGTGGAGAGGCAGTAAGTCCAAGGTGTTTGAAGTCTAGTGTAAAGCCTGTGATGACTCTTGCACCATGTCCTTTGCTGGTATTTGTGGTGGTCGGTCCACTATTATAAAGTCAAAAGCCAAACTTTGCCATGTCATTTCAGAACACTTCATGCTTTAATCTGTTGACAAGCTATATGGAGAAGAACTTTAGCTTTTCAGAAGAACTTTACCAAATGATTTTCTGGCCATATTCCCACTGGCCAGCCAACTCGCTCACACATGAACTTCACATGTTGAAAAAAAAGACAAGACCCACCCAACCTCAAACTACAGATGAGCTGAAGACCGCTATCAAGGCAACCTAGGCTTTAATAACACCTCAGCAGTCCCACAAGCTAATGAACTCCATCAATACAGTCAGTATTTAAATGAGCAAACTTTTCAGATATTTCTGTAAATACTTTTCTGCTTGACCTTGGAAAATATTCTAATAATCTGAGATAATGGATTACCGATTTTTATGAGCCGCACGCTATGAAAGAGGTGTAACTATGGAAGGTGTAGGGATACTGAGTCGTTTTACCACAGGTAACCATTTTAATATAAATGGTATGTTGAACATGGTACACTTGAGCTCCCCAGCCTCCCTCAGGATTCTTTTGAAGGCCTACCAGACGTGGGAATCGTCTTTACAGCACCACTTAGTACCCTTTCAAATGACATATGGCAAAACCAAATTTAAACTTTAGAATAAAAGAACCGTTAAGTCGAATATGCATAACATATAGTCTATATAAGACACTTGAATTGAAAGATAAGATCTTTTGGTACCTGACACTTTGCTTGTTTTCTGGTGTGGCTGTAGCTCAAGAGGTCATCTACTAAACAGAAGCTTGCATCCATCAGTGTGTAAATGTTGGATATACTACTTATAAGTACTTAAGCATAGGGAAGAAAAGCACTTAGGTGAATGAGACATGATGTATAAAGTGCTTGGATTGTTCAGGTAGAATAGCAAAGCACTATATAAGAACTTGATTACCATCTATTTTATTGTAGGATCTTTACCTTATGAAGTGCTTGAGGTGACTGTTGTTGTGATTTGGTTCTATATAAGTGAAAGTGAATTGAAACTCTTTGCTCGTAACATCTACCAGTTCAAAAGTGAAACACTTCAGAGAAAGGCCTGCAGTCTGGCCCCATCCAAAACCACTTTTGATGACTGATAATCTCCATTAGTGACTCACTTTACATGCACACACAGGATTGACTGTATTGCGTATTGATGTGTGAGAAACCAATAATAAAAGATCTCTAACCGACTGCATCTTATCTTTATTTTCCACCACCGAACGAGTCCTATTATAAGAGTCCATTCATACTGAAGAGGTCGTATTTAATCAACGCACAGTTTAATGTGCTCAAAGAGATGATTGTGTACACTCTAATCATCCATTGAGCCGTTTGTTGATCATCAGGCTGTGAAAGTAGGGTGCAAATAATTATTCAGCATGTGATTTCCATGACGCAGGAGTGTGATTGTGAACCCTCCACCCCGGGGGAAGAAGTGTCAGCTTCTCCTGAAGCATTTCTCCCTTTGCTGTATCCTCTGCTCTCTGGGTTCCAGTGTGTCACGAGTCTCTGGTCTTTGGCTTCTCTTTCATGTCTGTGCATTGAGACAAATCTGAGAGATAAAAGAGTTGGTTACTAAAGGAAAACAGGAGAAAAAAAAAGACATCCACAGGCTGACACGTCACATCGGATGCGATATTGTCAAGCTGAAAAAAATCTATGAAAAAGGAGGTTTGATTGTTGGTTTGCTAGCTGTGAGCGCAGATAGAACCAGAATGAAACGTCAGAATTAGTCCAAACAAGTCCAGGCAGCAACCTCCAGGGCAGAAAATGTGACTGAAGCACAAGTGCCAAAATTGCAGTTCCTCTAATGGCCACATGAGGCTGCCTTTTGTATCACCAGTGTTTTGGCAAATCATTTAGTCTTTCTGCATGTATTTACCTGTGTGCTGGCTTCTGTGGATATTCTGGATATAGAGGAGCAGCAGGAACAGGCAGAAGCCGATAAAGGATGCTACTGTACCGCACAGCAGGAAGGAGTAGCTGCCCTGACTGTGGATCACCTGCAGGACACATAAACACACATTGAGTTCCAAATCGCAAAGATCTCAGCGGTCAACCCTGGGAAGCCACTAAGCAACGTTAGTGAGGCGCTTTAGCCTAATTCATGCAGACACAGCAGGCTACAGTCACTGCACAAATGCTCAGTAGTGACCTGAAAGCCTGTTCCCCAGTGAGGGGACATGCACTATTATATTACACTTATTTAAATGTTTCAGAAAGAAACGAGAAATTCATATAAAACACTGAATGTAAAAGCATTTTGTGAAAGCGAATGCTTTATAAAAATGTTCAGGAAGACAGAAGAGTCTCAAATCCTTTCTTACCGATCCAACAAGCAGCTGAAGCAGCATCTCCCCCGTGCTGGCACTCGTTACCAGCACTGTTGTGGCACAGCCTGTAACACACAATAAGCACACAGGAATAATCTACAGCTATGGGACAAAAGTTGCACGCTGTAAAAGTGTACATGAGGCAATTAATTAACAAAAAAAAATCAATGCTTATTATTAAGTTATAATAATTAATAATCAAACAAATGAACAAATGTGTTAGATTATGATCATATGTGTGTGTTACATGGAGAGCAGGGTTTCTGTTTATATTAAACACTTGATGTAAAATATATCGAGAAATTTAAATTTAAATTAATTTTAATATTATAATAAAAACTGGATGACATAAAAATTGTAAAAACTAATGAAAGTATAAATGAATCAGTAAGATCTGATCATTAAGAACTAATAATAAATCATACTTGAAGACAAACATGTATATTTAAACAATCTTTGTCTGTTTTGGGGGAAATTATTACACTCAAGTGCAGGAATGTGGGGAAAAACCCTCAACAGAACTGTAGAAACACAGTTATTTATGATGCGAATTATAAACAGAACATCAATATTTTATTTTTACATGTAAAAATGCTACATTTTTATGTGATAGTTTTAATTTCATGTATTATAAATCTCTCCTTCTGCTGCATTTGTGGCATCAAATTCAAAGTGAGCACATATTTCCATGCCCACAGTTTGATCTGCTCTTCATCCAATATTGTATTTATATGTTTTGCAAACAAGTTATTCTGTTTTACACTTTCACTGTTAACTTTTCTGTAACTGAGTGTCATCAGGAATGATTTTACTCATTTCCTACTGGTTTACAATATATAAGGTTACTTATGCAGCAAATGCAGTATGCACGCTGGTGCAGTGAAAAAGTATTTGTCCTCTTTCTGACCGTTGTTTTCTTTTTCTACAAATCCTAACAAAGACAGAAATATTACAAATGAAAATACTTCAGTGAGCAAACTGTATGGACGCTGACCTTAACTGTTCTTTACGTGTTTGTCTGCGTTCCTTTGTGACCTGAATAAGCCACGAGTGCGCTCTTATTTTGATAGGAGTCATTTTTTCCTCCTGTGAAGGTTCACCACTGTTCAACATTATATCCATTTTTGGAAATTAGCTCTCTCAAAGTCATAGAAAAGACCGTTCTAGACTGGTTTTGTTTCTCTTCTTGAGATTCTTTACATTTTGTCATGAAGTGTTGCTCTATGAGAACTTCACTTGGTCAGATTCTATTTTTTGATTCAACAGGTCTGGCAGTAATCAGGCCAGACTATGGCAAAACAAACTGAATTTAATTTCATAAGCCACTCTCTGTTGGGGAGGTTACTTTTTTATACCGGGCCAGGTAGGGTTGGGAAGCCTTTTCCCTTTAATAAATGAAATCGTCGGGTTATCTTAGCCTAATATTAACAATGACTGTTTGATGGCTGTACTCCTGTGAGGCACTGACGATGTGTGTGTACCTTTGTATTCTAATATGTCCTCTGTGAAGGCTAACACAGAGGGGAACACACTGCTGATGCACAGGCCCAACACACAGGTGCCAAAGAACAGAAACACAGAGCTGGTGTAGAAGATTAACAGCAGGCACTGAACCAGTATGACTCCCACCTGAGAAACACACACACACATGCACACACACACACTAAATATAAAATATACATAAACAGAAAGAACAACAGAGAGGTGATGCACAGACGTTGATGGAAATGTACACATACTGTTGTAAAGTGGAAATAACAGATGACTGGATTTGAAAGCTTAGACTAACACTGGAAAGTCCTGCTAAAGGTTAAAAGGGAACTAAGTGCTGCCAAAACCCAGCAAAGAACCAAAGTCGGCTTCAGTCTAACACTTGACCAGCTGAGATATTCAACACATAACAGAGAGCCTGTTGTGACGAACAAAACTAGAAACCATTACAGGTTAAAACCTGTAAACACGATCATTTAAAATCACATCGGGCTCCAGGAAACTGTAGAAAATTTGTTTTTTTGCATTTCATACAATTTTGTTGTTGTTAAACAAAATTAATAAAGACAAAAAAACACCAGTAACACTGTTTGCATGAGAAAGGCAAACTTTATGTTCAGGCTAACACTGCAGAAAACTGATAATAACAATCCTTACTTATGAGAGCAAGCAGGACGGCGTTTATACGTTTGTAATGGACTGCTTGTCCACAGAGACACTACAATGCCGAAACTGAGTGGAATGAATCAGACTGATGTGGTAAAGTGAGACTGAACCAGGTTAGCTCAGACACACTGTGTGTACCCACTCAGACAACAATCGTCTTCTCGGTGGCTGCATTCCCACCCTGTTCAAATATTTGGTTTGAACTGTCGTAAGACAAGCGTCTTATAGCTTTAAGAGGAATAAAGCCTGACCCCTGATGGTCACTTCTGCTTTTCCTGCCCTGTGATATCTGTGTTCATGCAGGTTTGTCCTTCAGACACGTGTCCATACCAGACTGACGGTGAGCAGCTTGGGTGCCGTGTATCTGTAGGACAAGTACATTGAAGCCAGTCTTCCCACGGTGATCGCGGCCCAGAATATGCTGTCCAGACAGCCTGCCATCTTATGGCCCATCAGCAGAGGAGGGGAGACGGCGTAGGTGTAGACGAAGCCAGCATAAGAGCCCTGCAGGACAAGAAACCCGGCTGGAGGTCAGTTAGATCAGGCCCAGGAACAAACTTTGTCGCTCACTTTTTTCCCTGTTCTCATTGGTAACATATAATCAGATCAAATAAGGCACCATAATATCTGAGCCTTGTTCTTAAAGCTTTATATTGCCTGTTTACACTGGATTCACAGACAGCCTTCAGCCGGTCACTCTAATAATGACGTTTCTTAAGGAAACTCAGTGTAAAGGTGCTCTTTTTTGTATGATTTCTTACCACATTTATAGAAGCAATATCCCTTCCCAGGATATTGCTTCTATAAATATAACACGGGTGCAATATAATATATAACACAGTGTAATAAACAGTCATGATGTCACAAGTGCAAACTTTCTATTTTAACGGTGACGGTACATCGATGTACTGCTCTGTGTTGCTCCTAAGCAGAGTCTTAGTCAATTAGATGATGTTTTAATACAGCAAAGCCAAAAGCACTGAAGCTCTCACATATCACGATCCTGTTTTGTGTGTAAAAGGTTATTCTTGGATTGTTCCCATTTTACTTGGGTTCATGTGTAATTGTGTGTGGTGTTAGCTGGAAGCCTTACTATAATCCCATCTGTGATAAAGAGGATAGCTCCTCCTAGAGCGTGGATGATGAAGAAAGTAGCAGAGCGATCCCGGAGTTTGGCAGGGTTACAGCAGCTAAACACACTCCCATGTCCTGGGGAGACAGTCACACTCAGAGGTCTGCACTTTCATCTCAGCAAAGTTGTCACACAGACACACAAACACGTGTGCACTACCTTGGTCCGTGTCCCCCGTGGGGCTCCTGTTGGAGTCTGCATCAAGCAGACGTGGACTGCTTCTGGAGCAAGGCAGCAATCGCTCATGGGACATCAATGCGAGCACTGCCGCTGGGACAGGGAGCTGTCAAAACACACACAAGCACACAGACACACAATGAGAACGTTGTTCACCAAATGAAGAGATAACACTTCCTGTTTGTATGTTTGTGAGAAGAGGTTCTCACAAACATACGATCTTCTTTTCTTGTCGTCAGCTTGACACTGATCCAGCACACTCTGAAAATGCTGCACGCAGTGATGGGGAAGTCTGTTTACTTCATCTGAACTGCTGTTACTTCTAACCCAGATAAACTGTAAACAAGAGGTTTAGGCAACTCTGAGGAGCAGCAGTGCTATCTGGAAATGTCATTATATCATTAACTTCCATTTGAGCCATTTTCATGTGAAATTGTTCAGCACTACTCGGGAAATCTAGTCATGGGATACATCAGTGATTTCATTATGGGGAAGAAAACTACGCTAAAAATCCGTGCAGATTGTTTTGTTTCTTCGCCGCCAGCACCCCGAGCTAATTACTCGACCAAGCTAAACATTTAACTTAGGTACAAACTTACACACAAATTCAGTGTTTAAGAGAAAGCTGATTATATTTCTTACACTGTTCTAGTAGCATGTTTGACTACTCTACTAACAATGAGGCAAACATGTCGAACAGGGGCTCTTTGTTCATTCAGAACCACACCTGACTAGTGTTCTTTTCATAAGAGGATCCTATTCACAACACACAACAGACAGCTTAGATTAACTTTCAAGATCATGTATTATGTAACTATGTGTTTGCATTATTCACATCATGTACAGTACCATTTTTTTTGCATATTCATCACATGTACACTAGCGGTCAAAAGTCTGGACACGCCTTCTCATTTAATGGTTATTCTTTATTTTTACTACTTTCTACATTGTGATACAAAATGAAGACATCAAATATATGAAGCAAGATACATGGAATTATCTAGCAAAGAAAAAAATTGATCAGTAACACTATGTATTATGGTTTAAGATTGTTGAAGATTGCTTTGTTGACAGTGCTCCAAACTGTTGGCCTTCTCTCAGTGACATCATGATATAGTCACCTGAAATGGTTATCA